CAACAACAACAACAACAACAACAACAACAACAACAACAACAACAACACATCAATATAGTTATAGCCTTTATTTTATAAGTCTATAATAATCCACCCTGTTGACAATTTGGGGCTTAGTAGTAGTCCTCAGAGTCTTTGTGATAGAACATCACAATAGTACCAACCATCATCCACTGCTCCTGGGACAGAAAGATGACAAAGTCCACCCAGGGACTCTGCTTCAGCTCCCCAGAGATGAAACCAGGTGAGTGAGAGCCTCAAGACGGCAGAGAGCCTTCGCCACGATCCCGAGGAAGAGGACAGTCACTGAACATGCATGATTTCTTTTGGACCTTGCACAGTGTCAGTGTGTGTCGTTTTGACTCTAGCCTAGACTGGCAAGAGTCACACATGCGGATCGTTCTTTGGCAGCCTTTTGGAGCTCTGGAGCTATGGATGTTGACCTGCTTGGACTGGAGGTGACTTCTTTCAACAAAACCACCCTTGTCCGCTGTGGTCTTCGGGGAACCCACAGCGAACAGCGGCCGTTGAAGAAACGTCTTCCACATCGGAGACACCGTGTTTTCTGGGTCAGTCAGACATCCTGCACCTCCCAAGCACTCAGAAATCCTGACAAAAGCATTTGAGATAGAGAGAACTACAAACTTACGAGGTTAGCGGTTCCCCCTGTAACCAGATGGTGTTTGTGGTGCTTCCAGGTCAATGGTTCCAGGTGGTGCAGGAGGTCTGCCGTGGACAAAAAGTGGTTCCAGGAGGTCGGGGGAGTTCAGGATCTTGCTTGAGCAAGTGTCAGACCTGCAAGTGTCAGACCTGGGAGAATCGACTTTTGCTTTGGCCACGGCTGTTTGGCCACTGCCTGAATTTTTTTGGGTGGACATATATGCCTTATATGCCCCCTTGTGGTGGGAGGTTGGTCGTAGAGTCTTCCATTTCGCGCAAAGCTGGTCACTTTGCCCAATTCCTTCAGGTCTTCAAGGGAATTGGGTCGAGTCCGAAGTCAGGGTGCCCTGTCCGCGGAATCACCGGTGGGAGCTGTTCGGAAGCTGAAGCTCAGCGGCACCGAACGTCGGAACGTCGGAACGTCGGAACGGCTGGCGCACCGTTCCCATGGTCCATCAGCGGCACTCGGCCGAACATCCGCCCAAAGGCATTTGCCATTTGGGTAGTTTTTTTGTTTATTTTTCTTGAGTTGAACCCCGCCAAACAGTAGCAACCAACAGTCTCAGTCAGCTTCACTGCCAAGCCAGCCATCGCCCCATCGGAGCATATCGGAGCTCATGAGAGCACGGTTATGGCATAGCTGACTTTGTGGACAGTTCCTGGTTTGTGATGATACGGTACGTCAAAAATTGAACAGGCCGTCAATAGAGACAACGCAGGATGGTTTGGCAACAAACTGTCAAGCACTTGCCGGTCTGTTTGGGCCTGCCTGTTTTTGGCTTGGTTTCCTTTAAGAGACAAAACCATGAAGATTCCAAGAACCGTCCAACTCGCTGGCACACGAACACACGAAGACCCGTGAAAACATGTATAGTTGTATAGTGACATGTTTGCGCGATGTATTTGTCAGACAAGCGTGACAAATCTTTTGTAAGACGACGGACGCGAGTCACTCCAGTCGGTCACTGCAGCAAGACACATTTGTAAATAAAGGGCTCTTGAAACACATCGTTTTGGAATCTTTTGGACACACTCTCTGTAACGCACTCTTGTGCAAACACTCCCTGTAAGACACACACCTTGTGGATACACTTTTGCAAGCGACAACCAGTCGACTGAGGCAACTCATGTTTGTCTCCAAGTAATCCTAAAACATTGGCCCTTCCTTTCGTAGGCGTGGTTTGAAAAACCGATCCTGCAGGTAGAACACATTCGGCAGAAACTAGCGACACTGAAGAAACTCGGGTTGTCGAGGAAGAATTGCACATCATCAAAAACATACCCCAGCCACCATCATGTCATAACCAATGGGTGGCGTCTCTGGATTGCATTAAGAGGATAGTGCTTTCCAGAGCACTTGCGGGTCTCGGGGGCCTCTTGCGGCGCTCCTTCCAGGATCCCTTCCCCATCTACGCCTCCACGCAGAATCGGGTCGGAGCACCCGTCGTAACACGGCGCCGGTCGCGTGAGGGGATCGGGGATCGGAGTCCAGGCAGATCTGAATGCACCAGCACCACGGAGGACGTGGCCCAAATGTCCGACGCCCAAAGAGTCATGTCTTTTGCATAACCACCTCCCTTGGTGCTGGCCTCTTATCCAACCACCTCAGAAGTTAGGGAATTCAGAGGATTTATGGCACCCCTGTCCGACCGGTCTTGGCCTTCGCGAGAGGGGTCTTAAGACCCCTCGCGACCCTTCGCGACCTGGTTCATAGGGCCCAAAGGGGGCTGAATTGGAGTCCAAACCCTTTGGGTTGGGGATAGTCATGGACCCATGGATGTGTTTCGCTTGGTCTATCTGCAACGTGGGTCAGATTGGTTCCTTGAGCTCTTGGGAGCATCATCGCGGACATCATCCCGTCGTTCCCACTATGGCTATTACTATATTCCTCAAACTCCTTGGGATGGTGAGAGCAGGGAAATGAGCCGCATTCAATAGCATCTGTCAGAAATCGCATGTGGTTTGGGTGCTTTTGTTGCATGATATATGTATCATGTTAATGGTTTACTTGTATTTTGCTGATCCTAATTTGATACTCCTTGTTGGCACCTTTTGAAGCACCGATCCAAAACACGGCAAGGCGGCGGAGCTGAAGAAACTCTCCCTCTTACTGAAAAAGCACGCGGGGCGCACAGCTTTTCAGCACACGAGCTGAAAACAACAGCACCGCGGTGGAGGGGTGATCGTTCTCCGTTTGGTGGCGTTTCTTTTTCCCTTTCGTTTATCATGAGAAAAAAAGAACGTAAAAAAAGAACATGACAGGAGTCTTAGGAGGCAAACACTAAGCAGGGCCAACTACCAGGCCCAACGTTGGGCCATAGAAATGGGGTCTAAGAAGGAAGAGAACGAAGAGGTCCTTCGTCTAAGAGGTCCTTCGTCTAGTGGGTGTGACATCAGATCAGGAACACTCAGGATCAACTCAGAGTTTGAATGTTATTTGAGGCCGCAGGCCCTTTGTAGGACAACATGTTTGATCTAGCTGCATTTGGGTGTGTATTTGAATAGGAAGATCCCTCAAAGACCTCTGGGAACATCAAAAACAGACCAAATCCATTGGGGCAACAAAGTCTATTCTGGCTCGTATCCTACGTGCTTTCTCCGGCGCAAATCAAGGGCTACTGGCACCTGAAATGTTGAAAAAGATGCATTTATATACAACAATGTCATTAAGAAGATTCAAGAAACCTTTTTTTGTGAGTGATCTTGAGTGAGCCCATTTTTTCTGGCGGGCGGCACTTCACTCCACTTACCATCACCTGCTCTTTTGCTTCGCCAGTCGCACATCCCACGCGTGGGGCGTCGACTTCAGCTCCGCTCGGTTTCCGGTCGGACGCAGGTAGACCCTGCTGGTCCGTTGCAGAAGTCGGCCACCCAGTTCCGCGAGAGTGACCAGGCCGGGCGCCCGGCGTGTCCGGTGTTTTCATGAAGCGGTTGACTTCGGAAGTGGGTCCAAAATCCAAAGCGACGAACATTGGGTAGATCTGGGTACATAGCATATGAAGGACATTCTTTACAGTTGCCATACAGTGACCATCTAAGTCCAGATACAGTCCACAGCAACCAAGCATGCTCGGAATATATTCACAAAAAGGTGTGGTTAGCAACTACAAAACAAACTCTTCCACGGCAAATGTACATAAGACATCTAAAATGTTTACAAATTTCTGACATGTGACATGTCCTCATTTTGACATGCATGATCACCTTCCTTCCATATCAATGCCGCTGGGTCGTCAATGAGGTAAGTTGATGGGTTGCAGCTGCTATTCAAGAGCCCGTGTGTGAATGTGGTGACGCTCACTTGATTACCCCACTACTGTCATGGAATATGCTCTTCCAGGATGATGGAACCTTTTGCGTGTTTGAGGTGAGAAACAAGTCATCCTCAAGTCCTTGAGCCGATAGAATGTTCATGAAGGTCCTACATTTCAGTCACTGTCCAACTTGTATACCAGTCAGAAAACTGATCCCACACCAATGACAATGGACAATAAGCAATTCTTTCCTTGCGGGAAAGACTTCCCAGGATTCATCTTCCAGTGCCTTCTCAGAAATTGTTTTTTTTTTCATGGTGAAACTGCTGTTTCTGGTGGCCCCAGAATGGTCAGCTAGAGAATGCCCACCTCCAAACACTCCAACTTCCAAAATTTGCACAAAGAACTACCCCAAAACCCGACTGTGGAGCCAATTTGCACCAGGAGGCACTTAGATCGGCCAATACCCTCACCTTTTTCAAGGGTTTTGGCTCAGGTCCTACAGTCTTTGGATGTCTTTCATTGGAAGCAGTTTGGTTCCTTGTACACCAGATTAGAGGTCGGTCGCCAAACATGAACAAGCCCGAAATCAGCTGACTCGTCGCCACGCCCACACGTCCAGAGTTTTTTGGGTCCATGCCTGCTGCGCATGAGCTCACGTGGCGAGCCATCAACATGGCTCGCCACGGCTTTGCCTTGGTCCCAGGAGTACAGCGATGCTGCTCATGGTCTCTTCAAGTCGTTGAACAAATTCCAAGACTCTGCACGGTGCCCAAGACTTCGCGTGATGTGGGCGGTGCTTCCGAAGCTCACGTTTGCCAGATCTGAAGGGAGTGGACGACCGCCTGGACTGCCCATGGCGTGGTTCGCAGCCATCTGTCAGAGAACGTGGAGAATTCACCGAAGCGCTCAACGCAGCTTATGTAGATATTTCATGATCATTTGACATACTGTATCTCTTGACACAATTTTGTCTCTCTCTCTCTCTCTGTATATAGAACACCAATATTGTAACCTCACCATCCTGTACCCTCAAAAGCCTCGTGATAGAGTTGTGATTCAGCAGGCCGGCGTTCTCCGTTCTTCTCTTTTTTTTCCTTTTCTACTATTTGGAGTCTGTTTGCTACAGATAGTAGGCACTATAGTCACTAGACACTAGACATCCAACACCTCGCAGCAAAACAATGCATGTTCCCATGTGAAGGCCTTCAGATTCCCAGCTCAGGCCACTCACCACACTCCACGCGCGTCACGTGTCCTTGCCGCCCAGATCAGCGAGTTCCGCGGGAAGGTCGCGGATGCCAACAGTTCGGCCGCCCAGATCAGCGCAGGATGTACTCGGAACTCATATAGAAGTGGTGTTTTGCTGGTGTTTTTTTTGTCATATTGGTGCTACCGTGGAGCGCTTTCCGATGTTTCGCTTGCACTCCGAAACATCATGCACGGAAGTGGAGTGAAGACCCCCTGCTTGGTCTTTGGATTTCACCTTCCAAGTCTTCGGGGGTCATGCCATCCATTGTCACCATGTGAGTTCCGAGTGTAGAGAATTGGTTGAAACGCACGAACGCGTTGTCCGGCGATAGGAACATTGGAAGAGACGGCGTTCGCTTCGTGGTTTCATGGGACTTTTTGAGTTCATCCCCACAGAGAGCTACGTCTCGATGTGGAGAGACGTACATCATTTCCCGTAATGGGACTCTAACGTACATGATTTCAAATCAAATCTTTAGACATGCAATACATTGCAATACATTATACAAACATCTCCATCAGTTTGGGACGTTCGCAGTTCATGAGCATGAGATGCATGAGATGATTTCTGCAATGGCCGATTGAATCGACCGACTCCAACATCCCTGCAACGGTCACAGGCAGGAATGCTCACGAATGCTCACATGCTCCAGAGAATGAAGGTGACAGCTGTGAAGATGATATCTAGAGAATGTAGAAGATCATGGAAGAAGATCTTATGCTGATACTAAGGAATCAGACCTCACAGGAGGCCTTAAAGGCACTACCTTTCATCACTGCTTTTTTTCATCTCGTCTAGATGTTCCAGACTTCGCCAGCCTGCGACAAAGAACGCTCATCTCCCCAGATCTTCGGCTTCACATCTTCTCCCCGAACCAAGGACCTCTACCCAGGCCATACGGTCGACCGCCATGTTCTCCCAAGGCCATAAGGTCGACACCATCAAGGAGAAGATGTCCGTCCGGACGCCCCGTGTGTCCCGGGGACATGCGGATGTGGGGATCGGTGGATCCAACTGGGCTGTCCAGCTGTTCGGTTTCTGTTGAATTGGAAGAACTGAGAGAAGTAGATCATCCAGCCACTGCCAGGGAAAGCAAGAAATACTCTGCGCAGAAATGGTGACCGCCCATGCAAGAAATGTGAACGCCGACGATTGTTTTGGATGGCTCGATGTCTGAGGTTACAATTTCCGAAACACCCTCACTTGTTTCGGAGAGTGAACCGCTGGGGAGATGCTGCGTAGGCTGCTTTCTGGCATTTTTGTTGCTACCCATCTAGAGGCAATGTGTGTGTGTGTGTCAGCCGTTTCAAAGGAATGGCTTTCAGCCCCCCAAAGCCCTCTCCTCCACACCTTTGGAGTTTCTGTTTAAACCGTGCACGCGACTCCAGAGCTCCAGAGCTCTGACTCTGAAATACCAGAGCTGAAAGATCCATCGCCAGCATCCCCCAAAGAAAAAAACGAGCTTCAGATATGTTCAGAGATCTAGGATCTGGCATGGATGAATGGATGGAACATATGCTCAAGCATATCTAGAATCTGGCTCAAGTTCACGATCTTGGGATGAATATGAATGGATGGCTCGCCGAAGTCCGACCACCAGTCCGCCCCAGGCGAAGCTTCCAGGTGTGCGAGGCCGGTGGGCAGGGTCTTCCACGTCTTCCAATGGCGCAAGCACCACGTCTTCCATCCACAGTGAAGCCGATTGGCGCACAAAGAGAGTGGGAAGATGTGGTGGGAGACGCCCCCCTCCGCTGTGGTCGGTTCACTGGTGGTACCAGTCTTTGACCCACTTAGCTGTGCTTCTTGCCTTCTCCAGGAGAGGGTTGATTTGTGGTTCGTGGTGTAGCGTTAAATCATCACACTTAGTGGCTGTACAGGTTGATACCCAATATAGCTACTTGAGCGCTCCTTATGATTTACAAGGATCCTAGCCCTAGCCAATCTTGGCCGTTTCAGACACCCATTGGACTCTTTCGTTTACTTCTTTCGACCGTCCCGGTCCCCCCCGTTGCTTCGCTCGACCTCCGTTCTTCGGTCCGGATGACGAGCAGGTCCGCATCCACAGGATGAGTACTCTGAGGTGGACGACGAGGTGGAGTCAACCTGAAGGCTGCCGACTGAATGGTCTAAAAGAGAGCGGGAGCGGCCGAATGGAGGGAGTGTGACAGTGAAGGCCACCTTCAGGAGGGACGGTCAATGATAAGATTGAGACGTGTATTTTTATAGGGAGACCACCCTGGTCTAATGGGTAGACTGATCTATTTCCACTCTCTAGTATATACTTTATGCATTTCCATCCTTCTATGGAGAGATAGAGTTGGATACACCTCTACTCATCGCAGGCCCGGTGCAGGTCGTGCTTCCTTGACTCGAAGCAAGCTGACGAACTGACCGGTGAACGTCCTGCGATGGGGCGGGATGATGGGACGACGTGCGGGGAGAACATGGGACAGGTGGATCATCGATTCTACGGGGGGCCAAAACCCCCACCACCGATCCGTATATATAAAAAGGATTAAACATGAATCTATACAGTAACTATATGTAACAATAATCATATCGTCATTATATAATTATTTATGTCTTCAAATGCTCACCATGACACCCAGAATCCAGTACTCATTCGAGAATTCGCACGCAGTACAACGGAGGAACAAGATAGTTGAAGCCACAACTTGTGTGCAGCGTCTACAATGCCCAACAGCTCTGTAAGGGATGCTTGAATACCCGACCTTCCAACTGGCGCAACACGTCCCCAAGTCACGAGATATTCAAGAGAAACGTTGCATGTCGGCTTGATACATCTCTCCAGCAGCTGCCTTTCAGATCAACGCAATGATTCCACAGCCAAGTCACGCTACGCTGGACTCCAAACGACGACTTCAATTCGACGCCTTCAACTCAAAGGATCTAAAAGGTATTTTTTTTGGGGGGGGATGCGAATCTCATAATGTCCATTTGATGCAATCATTATAAGGCCATTTTCGCTAGTGTTGATGCCATGACAGTACTACTCACACAGTGGAGGTGCTCATGGCTCCCGCATAGACAAGAAGCCAGAACCATTTCTTCCCCTACCACAGTAGAAAGCAGCTGTGACATGTGGAGGATGCGAACATGATCGGTGAATTCCTGCATTTTACTGGCTACTTACTTCAGTGCGTGTTTTTGTTTAAGGCTGACTTAGTTAGACTCATGTCACTGCAGAAAGCACTCAGAAAACGCGTTCGAAAAGACGACTCTACCCGTTGCGTGTCGTTCTCTCGGTGTTGTTTTTGATCCTCTCCTCCATGGGAAGATCTGCCAAGATTGTGGGGGTACTTGGAGCTTTGAGTCACTACTGATGGCTGATGAATGTGGACCACCCGCCCCAGTCTTGGATGTTAAACACCCTCAGCATCCGGGGGTTGAAGTATCATCAACAGTCTACATTACTGGGACTGCTTTTTAATCCTATTTGTTTTGCCGGAGTTTTCAGTTCCCGCTCTCCTCTTGTTTTGGACTCACTGCACAGTGATTGGGGCAGTTTTTATGGATTGTATATTGTATACTGTATTTGGTTTGCCCGACGGCGGGGTGGTCTTGGGCAATTACAGAGAAGCGATTCTTCGCTTAAAAAAGAGCGTCATGTCAAACTGGGCGACATGTCACTCTGCAAGAACTAGCTGGCTACCACTTAGCTTGTCGCATCGTTTCGCCTCTTAAACAGGTGCCAGGATCGACTAGGACTAGGATGCTTTATCACCATACAGCATGGCAGTGCTGTCTCTATCTCAAGTGGTTTAGGATATTTCTCAACATCACTTTGTAGTTCCACAAATTCCAGTCGCCAACATCGTATCCGTATACCGTATACCGTTGACTCCATAGCATGAATACACCTAGACCTGCCCTTCGTCTCATCCATGGAAGTGGAGTGACTGAGTTCAGCGCCGGTTTGGCTCTTCGGGGCGATGGTCATCCGAGTCGTCTGAAAGGGACCATCCCATCCACGGTCCACGGCCCATGATGGTTCCTCAAAGGTTTGGTCCCTGGATGTTTCTGGCGAGACTCGCTTGGACCTCCGAGGTGAGAACACCAGCCTTTGAAAAGCAGAAGAGACATCAGAAGGGGCAGGAGATCGGGAGACAGAGATGCGCCACTTGCATCCATTTGATGCTTTTTTTGGAGGGTGTGTGTGGATTGGATTTTTAGGGGTGCCACTGGAATCAACTTCAGTACTCCAGTACTCACACTGTACAGTAATTCACATGGCGCGAGAATTTGGAATGAGCTGTATACGTGAGGTATATGAAGCTTTTGTCACTGGGTGATTTATCGAATTACAAGGGTGTGATTCTCCCAAAGTCTGACCAAGCCAGAGACCTGATTCGCTTGCTGCGCGACAAAGATCGTCAGAGACCTGACCCAACAGCTTGATGGTGGCATTCCGTGTCCCCTTCATGTGCGCTGCTAGGCATACTATGGCATACTGCATCATACTGCCCATCGAATTCTGCACCAGGAGTGGAAGAAGAGCCAATGGAAGGAGGCCAGAGAGAATGAGAAGAAGTCCCGAAAGACGGAGAACGAGGCCTGGACGGGTTTCGAGTTTCCGAAGGTGGCCTTCTGTGGACTTTGGAAGGACAAGCGCGTGGCCTTCCGGGGAGGCATTCAACAAGTGCCAACAAGATGGATCAAAACCATGGCAGTGGATCAAAACCAGGCTAAATACACCGGTTGATCACAGAACATGAGCAGAATAGATTACTATAGGGAGGTCAACCTACTAGGCTTTGTGGCTCCGAGTTTTGACGCCATATGGATGAGTATGTAAAGTGAAGGTCAAGCACTTGGTAGAATAGACACATTTTGAGCATTTGAGGCCTCTGTCATTGCCCAAAGAAACTTGGACACCTCTCACCTTCTTGCTCCAGTTCGCTCACCCAAAACGCACAAAGAACACCACGTGTAGCTGCGGGTTCAAAGAACATCACACGTATAGCTTTGGATCTCCAAGTGCCGGCGATGCACGAAAGCTTTGAACCTGTTTGTCAAAATACACCGGCCAGCTTTTTGAGTGAGAAGTTGTCGATACATATAAACTCATATATAGATACAATAATTCTGAAGGACATTCGATGATTCCAAACGATTCCCTGAAGCATTGCGCAGCTTCAGCGCCAGGTTGGAGCGAGCGCCATGGAGACCGACGAGCACCAGAAGGACTGGTCCGGGTTGAACAGTGGCGTTGCTCGTCCCGAACGAGGCACCTGGTGGTGAACACTCGCTCGTTTATTTAAAGGGAACACTGTAAAACGATAGGGGACTCACTGATCGTGTATTTTGGTGAGAAGAGGCCATGTAAATAACTTTGACCATGGCTCATAACCGTATTTTAGTGATGGTTCAATTGTTTGATAGTGATGTTCACAGCTGGAGGTCGTCGTCGTCGTCGTCGTCGTCGTCGTGGTTGTTGCTGTTGTTGTTGTTGTTGTTGTTTTGCATCACAATATAGGAACCTATAGCGGATCAATTCTCGATTCTTCTAAGTATCTTTGCAAGATGTGGTGAATGACTTATGTGGTCTAGTGGTCCAGAGTGGGGAAAGATGTCGGGGTAACCGTGGCTGGACTCTGAGTGGTGTGCTTTTTCTGTACTCCTGTGACGAGAAGGGATGTTCAGCCGGTAGTTGGGGTGTCCCTCAGCCGCTTTGTGTCAGGTTTCAGTCTATTTTTGAGAGTAGATGGGACAACCCCGATTCAGATAGGGGGTCTATATAGCGCCCTCCTTTTGGGCTCAATGGACGCTCCGACAGGGACAGGCGCGGATATTGTAGTAGATGGCAAGTAGGAATCAGTAAGAAGCCCAGTAGAAGCACAGCTGAAGTGGCAGTCAGGGTCTCCTCATGGGTCTTCTCATGGGTGTCCAGTGAATGAAGCGGATTTTGGAGGTCTTAGATGGATGCCGAAAGACTTAGAGTAATGCTCATTTTAAACATCTCTTCGATACTTCAATAGCGCAGCAATGCTGCAAGGTTCCTACTGCACCATGTCGCAGCCAAACACATGCTTCGTGGGGCAGTGTCAACCCTCATGGACATCGCCAATGCAGCGGGACCACTGATCTCGGGAGTCGGCCAAGGAGCTTTCTGGAAAGGTTGGAGAGGAGCGAGGGAGCGCAATTTTTTAGTGTTTTTTGTTTTTAGATACCATATTCATATACACGTATAAATATATATAATATACCTATATATATAATTTGTTCATTTGATGACTAGCTGGCGATATGCAAAGTGGCGAGAACCAACCTGCAAAATCCTGAATGATCCTTTTTAGTCAATGAACTCCGCTATAGTGGCGACTCATGCATCTCCTCTCCCCGCCGCCGCTGGTTTAGGAGGAGGTATTATTGAAATGCATTCCATAAAGACAGAAGCAACAAATGGGGATGTGTAATAACCCCCATGCTTGCAATTTAGTAAGGGCTGGACCTAAAGTATCCGAGGTGACCAAAAGCACCACAAAACGATAATAGGAGAACAACGATAACGATTAATGACATTGCACCTTTTCTGAGAGGTCTTGAATTTCTCTGTGCATCCCTCCGCTGGCATGACAGCATTCAAAGAAGGTCCTCTATATGTTTTTCCTTCACTTGCTCATGGCTGCGTTGTGCCCGAAGTTGTTCTGCCAAATAAAAGGTTGCGTTGCCAGTGTGCAGCCTCCTCGTGAGTGGCATGGCTTCATGGTTTCAGAGACGAATGTTGGGAGTAGTGTCGAGAGGTGCCTGGCTTTCTGTTGAATTGCTGTCGCATTGCGGAGCGTGTCAAGAATTGGCGCCTTGAGGCCCAAGATCTGGGTAAAGTGAGAGGGTACCAGAACGATAACGAAACGATAACAAAAGCGATAACGTTATGTAACAAAATCCTCTCAGATGAACAATGTCCCATTTCTTTGTTTCAGATGTTTGATTTTCTCTTTCGTCTTCATGTTGGAAATTCCGGTGGCCACGCAAAATGCGTTGCAGAAAGCCATTTTGGCAGCTCCGGATGTTGGGAGTTGCGTCGTGGAAGCTGCGCGGAAGCATGTGCCTGGTTCTGCTAAAATTTGCAGGGCGAAGCGCCCATGTCGAGCAGCTTGTCCAGTAGCAGCGCAACCTCGTCGGAAAGTAGAGTCGAGTGAGAATGTGCTGCAGCTGCTTGCAGCTTGGGAAGGGCCTGGGCAAGACTACCTTCGATTGATCCTACATGCCCCAAACCCTTGAAAAAACGATAAACATACATTTACTATACTATGTATCCCAAACCGACAACAGGAAAGAACCGATAACGCGGTTTTGGTAATGGCAATCTTCCTACGGGGTTTTATACAACCCCAAATGGCCCATGCTCCACTTAGAAACATGTCAACTCACAATCCACTCATCAAAATAATCTGAGGTAGTATCTGAAGCTCAGTTGTGTGGGACAAGCTGCATAGACCTGGCATACAGTCAGCTCAGTACAACAAATTCTTCAATGAACGGTTCAAGACTTAACTCAACCATTCTTTCCCAGCGTCCATGGCGTGGAGCTTGAAGGGCATCCTTTACCTGACTGGTTTGGGAAATTTGACCTGTCGCCTGGCTTGGTCAGTGCTTCTATGTGATCTTGGCACTTGCTGAGGGCTTTAGTGGGAGGTGGGCAACTAGTAAGCAATCCAGCCTCCCGCAGTTGCAGCGGCCGTTGGTGCTAGCTCTTCCTTGCGGCGGGGCTTCTGGCATCAGAGCCTTTCTGCGCGAGTCGGCCTTGGAGGTGCAGATCCCGTACTTCTTTGACCTGGGTAGAAGCCTTTATTGCCCTTTGCGTGCAACGCATGGTGGCAGCTTCGCCTTGGGGCCTCATGGAGAGCTTGTTATTTGGTGATGCAGGTAGCAGCAAAAGGGCTTTGACTTTGACTAGATTGATGGCTTTCAAGCACTCTTGGACGTGGTAGTTGGTAGGGTGTCCCCGTTAACCAGAAAGAGGCAGCAAAGATGATCTCTTTTTTGGGAGGGGTGTGTGACCATCATCATGTTCTTCTTTTGGTACCACCAGGATTTGAGTTGAAATCGGGCGCCTTAAACTTTTCAGGTGTGCAGTGTGTATCCCGACAGGGTGTCGAGTGTCGGGTTGTTAGTGGGAGGAGCGCTGTGACCGCAGGAGACGTGACCAGATGTGATTACAAGAGCTGGCATCGAGTAGATGGCGTGATCTCCGGTCCTCCTTGTGCGATGCGGCGACGCAGCGCGGAAATGGCATAACATACAAGCGCTTGTGACAAGTGACAAGGACCCACAGTGACAAGCGCCACAAGCCTGATTGTGTGGGGATAGCTCAGGGTCGACAAACTATGGATGGGTTTAGGGTTCGTTTGGCCAGCCTATAGGTGTCGTTCACGAGTGAGGCGCAAACAAAAAATGCGAGTGTGAATTCTGTTTGCGGGTCACCCAGCGTGTCAGCTGTAAAGCTGCTCCTTTTGAGATGATGCTTGGGAGTTGCTCAAGTTCAAGCCCGAACCTCCTTTGTGTGAGACGTTTGTTCTTACTCTATGACCACCTGCCACGCAAAAACGCCCCCCCCCCCCCCACACACACACACACACAGAGGTAATTCTTTATGTTGATGTAGTTGTGTGTTTGTGGTTGTGGTTGTGTTTGCGGTTCCGTGTCTGTGGTTGTGTCTGATTGTGTTTGTGGTTGTGTGCCTGTGGTTGTGTGATGTGGTTGTGCTTGTGGTTGTGTGTTTGTGATTGTGTTTGTGGCTGCGAGCTTACATCTTGAATTCGGAGGCTTTGCAAGAAGTTCCAAGTTAACGAGGAGAGTGCCCTCCATGAATTCCCCATCACACAGCCTTTGGCTTACAGACGAGCTTGTGCAGTGAGGTCGAACGAAGCCGCGGCTGCCATTCAGGGATGGAGAACCGACGCACTGCTGCTGGGAGACAACTCCCAAGCTTGCGAAAACTCTTTGCCCTTTGGGAGGCCCTTCTCTTCTGGAGCTGTGGGACGGAGCGCCTCTTCAGACAATCAGAGTGCCTCTTTTTCCTTCACGATGAACCAAGCTGGCCGTGTCGAAGCGATGGGACGACTTGGTGTTGATTTTTGGCGAGACGCCTCTGGCTGAACTGGCCCCGCTGGCAGCACATGCTTGGAGTAGGATCTACAAGGATGACCGTCAAAGAGTTCTTGTGCGATGTGACAAAGGCCTGAACCGAGGCGCAAGGAAGAACCATGTGTCGTACAGGTCCTTGGAAAGAAGGTGGGTCAAAGCAGTTCGCAAGGGTCAAGAAGCTCAAATCAAAGAAGGTCAAGTTTACACCAACTTGAAAACTCCAAGGCAGAAGTCCGTCTCCAAGAGCAACCCTCAAAGCGTTCCAAGAGGGATTTGATGCCGAAGAGTTGAGGATGTCCTCGAGGCAGGTTTGGTTATTTATCACTTCCACCGGCAATGCTCGGAGGAGTCGGCCGCAACCGTTGGGGAAGGCCAAGCCCATGCAGGTGAAGTTCGCGCGTGCGCTTGGGATTGGGAGGGTCTATGTGCATTTCTTGCCGCGCTGCAATAGTGTTAGCTCGTGCGTTTGATCAAGGAGGCTGCCCGAAAACCTTTTTCAAAGTAGACCGTGGTTTCTGATCGTTGAAATTACGTCCGGAAGGGCAAAGCCAAGCCGGCAGTGCTTTGAAGTGGTATCAAGTGAGCGTGGACAAGCTGAGCTCAAGAGAGGGCATGTTCTCTCATGGCCAGTGTTTCTAGGCAGCCTGCAAAGACAGATTCGGACATCCGATGGCGTGACCGTCCGCTGAAGGCTGGAAGTGCAATGTTGGTTACCGTTCCAAAATTGGAGCCTGAGAGCGGAAAGCAGGAGGCTTCTAAGTGGGTGTCTGGAGGTTGCCTTTTTGTCAAGAAAGTCTTTCCATGAGCCGAGTGATAGCATCAGGTAGTCTGAAGGCAGGGCGGCCATAAAATACAAAAGCATTCGCGCCAGGCGGCGAGAAGAAGATCCTTGCACTCGGGCAGTGAAAAAGAACTGGTGCGAGTGTTTTGGGAGTGGCCTGCCCACTGTGGATGCCTCAACCATGATTGCCGGAGACACGGGTAGCCTGCACAAAGATTGTGGGCTTGCGTTTGCGATTCCTCAATCATGACTGCAGATAACCACAGGCCTTTTTGGAATGTACAGGCTAGCCCTGCGCAGAGAGAGGGTTTGAATTGTCTAGTGTCCTTCCGGATTTGCAGGCTAGCTCTGCGCAGAGATGGTCGGTTCGATTTAGGATTCCTTAGCCATGACTGCCGGAAACCACATGGCATGTGGTCTACTCTTCCATCCCCCTCGACTCTCACGCGGCTCATGTCTTTTTGGAGCCCTGCGCAGAGATTGTGTGCATTTTGAAGTGTTTGGACTCCTGAACCAGGCTGCGCATTTTTTATTCTATCTTTTTCCAGCCCTTTAAGCGCATCCAAGCGACCTGCGTAAAGATTCACACTTAGTTTTTGTGCTGCACATGAGTGAATACAGATCGGTTCCTTGTACATGTAAGGCTGACGGCAGCAGTGGCCAGAAGGCCGTGATGCTCAGTTTTAAGAAGACCTTGCCTCAAAGACCAGTGCAGCAGTTTGGCCAAAGGTGGTCCAAGTGTCATTGTTGGAGATCATCGCGGCGTAGAGAAGGAACCGGAAGAGTTTTCAAAAAGTTTCCAGACTCTGGTAGAACTTCCCCGGCAGGGTTCCACCACTTTGGGTTTCGCCACATAAGTCAACAGTTGCATATATCATACATACAGTATGTATGTATGTATATATATATGTGCATATATATATATACATTTTGTGTCTAAGGGTGGACTTCGTGCCTTTCGCGATTTTTTGTCGGGCGGGCTTTGTGGTTGGCTGAAGCTGGTGAAGGATGAATGGCCCTGTAGACTCGCAGCCTGTGATATCCTCAAAACGCGTGTAGAACTCTAGGCCAACATGAGGTGAACATGCTTGGACCTGCTCGCAAGGGTACTTGAGAGTCTGGACGCTGAATGTCCTTTGCTGCCGGGTGCACTTGGACTAGTCTCACTTTGACCAACACCAACACACAAGGAGAAAACACGTGCTCTAACACGTCTCACGACGTCTCACGGTGCAGTTCGGATCCACCGCCTTCGTCTCGAAATGCAGGCGATGAAGTTCTTCAGTCTCGCCACCTCGGCATGCTTTCGCCGAAGGTTGAACGGGCCGCCCCAAGCGAGCGGATGAACGAGCCGGCTGAATTTGGTTGAAGTCGGTTTCAAGCACATGATTCCCACTGATCCTATCTTGGAACATTTTTCATTTTCACATGAATATGTTTGATCCTGACACTACTTCCAGCTAGTGAAAATATGATTTACTTGTCTATCTTGACAGAGAATGTTTTTTGCAAAGGGCACCTGGAATGATTTGTTCACTGTTTCGGTGTTCAAACGTTTTAAACGGGACTGCCACTTGCAACAGTCAGTGTCCACTGGACATGTATGTGCCCAGACTTCATAACCTTTCCACGCGCGCAAATGCGTCCGTGCTACCAGAGTTCTGGGTTTTCCACTGCGCACCATCTCTGTGGTGCGGAGATCCGTCACTCCAGCAGACTTCGCGATGACGAGATCGAGATCCATAGAAAAATGCTGGTGGTAACTGAATCTTTTCAGAGTTGTTTGGGTTACTTCAATCTATAGCATCCATGCGATCAAACCTCTGAGAAACATCTTGAGTGCTGAAACGTCCCGGTGTCAGGGCTGCCGATGCTGGTTTCAGGGTGTTTCCGGACAATTTGCTGGTCCAATTATGTTTATAGATTGTGTTCTAGAAAGTATTCCATAGTTAGCACAGGTTCTTCACCAAGTCAATCCCCTGAGTCCAAAAGAACCAATGGACCATCGCATGAACCTTCCGTCAACTTCAGTGCTCTTCATCTCCATAGGCACTCCATGTGTGCCATATTTGCCAATCAAGCCCGGAATGGGTCGATTTCAGGGGTCATTTTTTTTATGTAGGCATCTATTCCAGTCCCATGGAGTGTCTGGGACATGTTTTGCACGTCTCGCGCTCCACCCGAACCCGACGCCGAAAGACGTCTGGCCGCCAGGCCGACCTGGCCACGTCGGGCGCTGCTGAAGTGACCGAGGCGGTCGGATGGATGGCCGTGTGGCGAATCCGCTGAAGTGCCAAACTTCGAGGTTTTAGGCCATTGGTGGAGAGAAAAGGTTCAAGAATGGATCAGCTACAGGAGCAAGGATTGGCACCACATCCAAAGGCTAGGGGTGGTTGTCCACCACTGCCAAAAACGGAGAGTGTTTCCGGTCGGAAGGACACACGCTTGCAAGTGTCATTCGTTTCTGAGTAGAACGGAAGAAATCCGATTTTGCCGTTGTTCAATCAAATGGGGAGTATCGAATTGATGTCTTCATGACGAGATCGGCCAGCTATACCACCAGTACATTCGGAAAATGTCACCAAAGCCATCCTAGACAAGCACAGCCTGTGGCCATTTGGGCGGCTTATGTTTCCAAGATTTCACCTGCTGTGACAACACTCGAAGAAAATTCAGCGAATGATAGGTGAACTGATCCAGGATCATCGCTATGGTGAAATTGTTCTGAAAAGAATGACTCGATAGATGAGAATCCGAAGCTTAGGGAATCCTTCATCTCTTGTTGGTACCAGTCAGTCCTTCCTCACAGGTACTCAACCTATAGAGGACCCACGAGTCAGGAACAACTCCAGTACTTAGTTTGGGAGCAAAATATGATACCGAGAGATTTGGCACCAAGAATCCAGTGGCTAGCGAACAGCATCCTCCCATCCGCTCCAGGCTCGATTGCCAGTCAGGCTGCCCAGCTTCGCGGGTGAACACTGAGGGGATTTTGGTTTCCCTCACAGCTTTGCTGTGAGAGGGCACTCAGTTCTTGCACAGAAAGGATCCTGGGCCAAGATGATTTCTGGCCTTTTGTCTCCTTTTGTCTCCTTTGATTCCCATGGATCTTCTGGGTGCTGGGCTTAGATGATCCTGCTTTGTCACTCTTTGTTGCCCTTTGTGTTCCATGGCCGTTCTGGCTAAAATGATTCTACATTGTCTCCTTTTGTCTCCCGTGGCTCTCCTTGGATGCTGGGCTGAGATGATTCTGCTTTGTCTTCCTTTGTCTCGAGTGTTTCTTATGGGCCCATGGCTCAAAGCTGGCGGCAAAAAGTTTCACGGCATGGCAGCCTAGTGATTTGCTCGGCGTGTTCGTGTTCGTGTTCGT